GATCTTTTTTTTCTCTTGATGTTAGATATTACTTTGTTGTAAGATATTTAACCCATAACATATATGCTATTATGTATGGTTTGCAATATTAACTGACTTGTAAAGTGGCTTGAACCTGTGTGCCCTTCGTTTTGACTACCAAGTGAACAGAAAATACTAAGAATTGCCTCCTTGGAAACTCCACGTAGCCTGTGGCTTTTGTGATTGAAATGGCACTAATCAAAGCCTGACACTGTGAACAGACACAAACATGCATGGGCCTGTTTTTCTCTAACCTTAAACCACTCGTGACACTGTTTTTAAATGAAAGAAAAATGATGTTTATTGCTGTGTCACAAATTGTTGCATTATTTCATTGTATCATTGGCAAACTTGTGTGTGTTCATGAAGAAAGAGCCCCTGACCATCTTATACGATCCAATGGAGATATTTTTAAATTCCTATTTTTAGATAGGCATCTGAGGCTTAAAGTGCTATAACTTACATCAGACCACCATGTTAGTAAGTGGTGGAGCTTGGGTATAAGATTGGGTCTGATCACAAAGGCCATGATTTTTCCTTATGTTGTGCTGCCCCTACAGTTTTTATAGGGTCGTGATTTCTCATTTGAGGACACAAATAAAAATGTGCATTATAGGAGACCATTTTAATCTAAGTTGCCACTGAATTTTAGATGGATCCAGTGGGATGAGGGAGGTGTTAGATCAGAAAAAGGATCTTTTTGGAGATGCTTGTAATAGGCCACTGGGAGAGCCCTTGATGGGGACCCTTCATTATCTCCTACCTCTCACACTAAATCAGAAGTAGAAGCTAAAGAGCAGCGGTGTTCCGACTTGCTAATTGAGCACTGTCTTCCCATGACTGAGGCCAAAATTCTTCTGTGGGACAAATCCCTCCAAATATAATGGTTTCCCAGAGGTTGCCAAACCATTCTGATCTTTGGAACTAGGCTGGAAGTCTTGGAGGTCAGGCAAAGTGATTGAATAATTTGATAACTCTTAGGCTTTCTAGAACTTGAAGTATGAGAGAGGGCATTTTGATTCTTGAAAGATTTTTCTTTCCATTTCTGGCCAGCATAAGAAAATTGAGGACAACTATCTGTTGTGGTTCCTTCAACAGAAGATTTAATTTCAGTGGCAAATATCTTCAAAATAATCCTGAATCAGCTCCAACTGGGTCTCATTTTGGTTCTGATCAAGCAACGGACATAGCCACAATACTGGTAGATGGTGCTGGGAAATTCTGGGCAGTGCATGATCCAATTTTCTTTAAACATTTTTTTCGTGGCTAGGACATTGTTCTACTTTGACAGATATATTTGCAGACTGACTACGAGGTTACTTTAGGATAAAAACTTAAAGGTGGATTAGATGGCTGTTCCTCTTTGTCTCCTACTGTCCCTCAAGTGCTTGTCAGCAGCTCCTGCTCGCTTTTTGCCTGTATTATACCCTGCTTCCTCCCACCTATAGGAGGAAGAAAGTGTTGGATGTATATTAGCTGTTCTTAAAGGATATATGTATACAAATGTATTCTGTGACTTTCTTTGCTTTTTACAGAAGCGCTGGTGGCTGTAAATGCTTTTGGGCTAGGTATTTGACAAAAAGTAAGCGAATGTTTGAAAGAGCAATAATGGGCCGGTGTGGTGGTTCATGCCTGTGATTGTAGCACTCTGGGAGGCTAAGGCAGGCAGATCGCATGAGGTCGAAAGTTTGAGAACAGCCTGACCAACATGGATAAAGCTTGACTCTACTAAAAATACAAAATTAGCTAGGTGTCATGGCACATACCTGTAATCCCAGCTACTAAGGAGGCTTAGGCAGAGAATTGCTTGCATCCGGGAGGCGGAGGTTGAAATGAGTCGAGATTATGCCATTGCACTCCAGCCTGGGCAACAAGAGCAAAACTCCATCTCAAAAAACAAATGACTGAGAAGCATCTTGTTAAATGGAACATTTTTACTATCAAGAATGAAATTATAAGACCACCCATGTGACAAGACCTCAAAATCTTTATACCTTTCTCTTTCTCCAGAATCAGCTAATTGAGTTTGTGACTTAAGAGACGGACAGTATTGTGGTTGAGAATGTTTCTCTTGAGCGTTGGAATTCTGTTTTGTCCACTCACCAACTGCATGGGAAAGTTACTAGATTCTCCAAAACTCTCTCTTAAAATCTGTAAAATGGGAATAGTAATACTCTTTATCTTGTAATATTATGACTATTAAATACATAAAAAATGCTTAATAGAGTATCTAGTATATAGGAAGCCCTTAATACATAAACACTATTTTTTATTGTGGTAAAATATACATAAAATATACCACTTGAATCATTTTTAAATGTACAGTTCAGGGGCATTAAATACATTCACATGGCTGTGCAGCCATCAGTACCATCCATCTCCAGAACCTTTTCATCTTTCCCAAACTGAAACTCCATACCCATGAAACAGTAATTCCCCACTCCGTCTTCCTCCAGCCCCTGGAAACCAACCACCATTCTACTTTCTGTAATTTTGATTACACTAGGTAATCCCTGTAAGTGGATTGTATTAATCCATTTTCATACTGCTATGAAGAAAAACCCAGGACTGGGCAATTTACGAAGAAAAAGAGGTTTAATGGACTCTTTAAAGGTACAGCTCTACATGGCTTGGGAGGCCTCAAAGTCGTGGTGCAAGGGGAAAAGTAGAAAAAATTTTGAAAAATCTGAAACCTAGATTTAGGACAAAAATAAGAACAAGGGAAGGAGGAGAAAGACTAGATAGAAAAAATGGGGAAAGCCGCTGTGACAGATTGTATTTTCCAAAGATCTCAACAATATACATCCATCGTACATGCTGTTGCAATGTGGCATTTATATTCTTCCATCAAGAGGTAGAATCTAGTTCCCCACCTCCCCAGTCTGGGCAGACCATTTGTAAATAGCTTAATATGATGAAAGTGACTGGGTGTAGCTTCTGTGATTTGGTCAGAAAAAAACATGACCCATTTTATTATGGACCACTCAAGACTCCCATGTGGAGAGGAACTGAGGCTTCCAGCTTACAGCCAGCACCAGCTTGCCAGCTGAGTGAGATAACTGGGAAGCGCAACTTCCAGTCCCACTCAAGCCATCCAGTTTTCAGATGACAAACTCAATGTTTTTTTAGATGTTCAGATATCTCAACATGTTTATGAACATGATGACAGATGAGTTAATAAACACATCACTACAACCCTGAGACACACCAAGTGAGAACTGCCCAGCTGAACCCTTCTCAAATTCTTGATCAACAAACACCAAGAGAAATAAGTAACATTGTTGCTTTAATGCACTATATTTTGGGGTATTTTATTATATAGAAATAAATAATATAGTTATTTTCTTAGCATTTATCATCACACAATGATGGACATGAAGCAAACATTACCTTCAGAAGATTTCGACTCAGCAGCATCTACCGTGCGCAAAGGGTCAGTGGAGAGCTTTAAAGTTTATTTCCATAGTGACAATCACAGCAAAGTGAAAGTGGGCAGCTGATCTAGACAATATTTAGCCTCAGGGATCTATAACCTGTGCTATGATTTGAATGTCTTCTCTAAAACTCGTGTTAAAGTTTAATTGCTGTTGTAACAGTACTAAGACATGGGATCTTTAACAGGTGATGAGGCGATAAAGGCTCCACCTTCATGAGTGGGATTAACGCTGTTGTGAACAAAGCTAGGGTCCCCTTGCCTCTGGCCTTCTGCCATGTGATGATGTAGAAAGTCCTTACAAGATGCTGGTGCCATGATATTGGACTTCTCAGTTTGCAGAACTGCTAGACAATACATTTCTGTTTATAAATTGCCCATTATCAAGTATTCTGTTACAGGAACACAAAACATACTAAGGCAGACGTTGGACCATCAGCTTCATAGACTATTTAAAGAGTAGGCAAAAATGTATGCTCATTAAGCAAGGGAGGATAAGTATTGGTTAGACCAGAGATGAGATGCTTCCTATGCTGTGCTGGTATTTCTTCCTAGGTCCTTACGATACTCAGGCCTCTACCCTCATATAGGTGCTGTAATTCACAACAAAACCCTAATAATGCTTGTTAAAAATGTAGCAGCATTTGGATCTTTCTTTTAAAAAAAAAGTTCCAGAATATTTCTCCATGATGGAGTATTTCATAGGAGAGAACAGTCTAATGAATGAATCCATCAGTGGGAAGGGCTTTGGCCTTAGTGTCAAGAAATCTGGATTCTAGTCTTGAAGTGTTTACCAACACTGCATGTGATTTTTAGCAATACCCTTGAACTTCAGCAGTTTTACTGAGATTTTCTTCAGTGTCCAAAGATTTTTGCAGCACAATGACTGAGTTAGAAGATTTTGCAGTGATGAAATGTTTTCCTAGATGATAGCTATGTCTGTTCATTAAACATTGCTATATGTAATGGAATACATTTCAGCAAATATCTAGAACTCTAGAGTGTATGGCATTCAGGAACACCAAAGAAATAACACAATCACATATGTATTTAAATAGAACACTGTTTTGCTTAAAGTGTTTTGGTTTTATGTTTACAAAATACCTGCATGCTTCATATTATTCCTTGAAAAGAATATGTACCTTGTGCTTAGTAGTAAGAATACAGTTATGTTTCTATTCTGTTTCTCTAGTTTATTATTTTCAACCCATAACCTGAAGTCACCAATCTTTGTGCCCCAGTCCTTGGGCAACTTACTTTCAGGGAATGTTGCTTCTGGATAAGCCTTGAGACAATGTGGGGCTGGTTGTGTGTGTTTGCTGTTACCCTTGAATGCCTGGCCAAGTTCCCCACAGTTGATAGAGTACAAATGGGAGAAAAAGGAAGATAAAAATGATAGACTTACTCAGACCCAGCTCTTGTGCAGAGTAGTAATAGTGTACCTGAGTGGAAATGCAAGTTAGAAATGACTGGTATTCTCCACATTACTGTTGGGGATATTGCTTTACACACCACCTGAAAACAAATCTGCATTGCACACCAGATGGACATGAAACCCAGATTTATTAAAATACCCTTAGCATATTTACAATTGAAAGCCATGAATGCAATTCGCTGCAAATTCCAAAAAATATAATTCTATCTCTTAAGTGAATAGAGGTATCAACAGATTAGGATAAATATAACTTATCACAGAGATAGAATTTTCTTGAATAGACAAGTGACACTTTTCTCATCAATATATATTATGTACAAAAATACACTTGATATGGTGACCAAGTACTGTCAAGGAGGAAAAAAAAATATACACATATTTTTATTATGTACAAATCAGTTCCTTCAACCTTTCTTTTTAAAAATAAATACTTCATTTGGTTGCAAATGGCATTTATAAACTCATGAACATTTCTCAGCTTTGACAAAATTAAATATGCAAACAAATTAGAAATACCTATTTTTAAGCAAAGGGAAAAATACCTGAATCCAATGAGATTATGCTTAAAAGTATCAAAGGGCATGTAACATAAGGTTTCATGTCTTTAAAGTGCCTTCTCCTTTCCCAACTGTCTTCATTACTGCCTAAAACCCTTTCAGTTTATATCTACAGATTGGTCTAATAATTAAACAGAAAAGCCTATGTTTTACCAGGTTAAATGGTTGACAATTTAGGACATGCTCACACTTTAAGTGCTTTCAAGAGTGTAGCACTTACTGTTCATCTGAAAATAATCACAAAGTGTCAACGTCCTGATTCAGAACAGGGGTAGATGCTTGAATCATGAGTAGTAGTAAGAATGGAATGGCAATAAAAAGCCTTATGATTCAAAGTGTTTGCCTGCACAGAATTAAATCGATTTGTCCAGCAGCACAAAAAGTTACTTGAGATTCAAAAATTTAGCCTTCCGCATCATAGCTGGTGATCCGGTCTGATGTACAAATTTATCAAAAGAATGGCCTTGGTTTAAGGTAAATCTATGAGAAATTGAAGACCTAGAATAACATGCCCCCCACCCCAGCCAACCTTCTTAAAGTAGAATAAAATGAAAAAGAGACGTATTTTCCATCTTTTATGGATTTTCCTTTTTGCCTAAGTGATGAGGTGATGCTGACATTAACAAGAGGCAGTCACAGCAGTGTGTCTCACATGGGCTCCTTGGTGACAGCGGGGTTCCCTGTCCAAGCGGCTGAGAATGGAGCACAGGGTATGAGGGGATGGAGGAGGGGCCGAGGGAGACACTTGGTTGTCTGTGATGCAGAGGGGTGAAAAAATCTGGGTCTGGGAGAAACGTAAGAAAAAGCCACGGAATATGAAGGAAAAAGGCAAAACGAAGCTAGACGTCAAAATGACTTTTGAACAGGCATGCAGTAAACAGGGTCTATGGACAAGTAGCCCCACGGATTTTGAAACTGTTGGAGCTGTTAAACCAAGTACAGACCAGTTTCACTGCGGTACCTGCTTTTCCAGTACACTGTCTGGCACTGATAAATAATACAAGATCATGGGCACTCACATCTGCCTAACAGAGATGCCTTCAATTTCCACTGAAAAGCTGCCAATGATACAACCATGCCCCCAAATCACCAGCTCCCTAACAATGTAATCTATCAGCAAAACATTGCGTTAGCCTCATTCAAATTTTACTCCTCCATGCATCCTTTCTTTCTCGCCCATCCCATTGCTTGCAACCTCACAAGGCCCCAGTTATATGAAGACATAGAACTGCATGGACCAAATGCACTTTAGACAGCAGCATCCAGGGTCCAGGGTGTCACTGAGAAAACTAAACTCTAAAGCACTTTTAAGTAATTTACATTTCTGCTAGGTCCGATTCATACCAGGATGCTGACTGCCTTCACTTAGGTTCTGGGCATGCAGGCCAGTGCTTATTCCCAAGCCAAAGCACGATCCCCTAAATCAAAGTCCAAGGACATCCTCCTTGGCATGCTACTCTAAATTAAAACTCTTAAAACTCAATGAAAGAAAAAGACCATGACAAATGAATGATTTCTTTCAAGATTCTTAAAAATTACTCAATTTCTAATTTGAAAAGTTTCTGCCATTTTAGGAGTATTTTTACATTGGTTCTTTAAGGGAAGTCCTTAAAGCTTACATTCTTTGAAGATAAGACATCTAGCTGACAGTAGGGTCACATTATGCCTTGGGAAATTATAGAATTATAAAATTAAGTTTTGGAGTAGACCTATCCCTTGGGTAGATCCCTAAAACTTATTTGTGTCACTAGGAGCAAACAGGAAAATCGTTACTAGACTTTCCCTCTCTCTCATGGATTTGTTTTCAATGGAAATGGAAGCCTTTCAAAGATTATGCAGAACACGGTCTCAGTGGGTCTGAGCTACCCTCTTCATGCCTTGTGGTCCGATGCATGAAGAAATGAGATTTTATCTAGAGACAAGTTAGCATGAAGAGAGGAAAAAGGAGATATTCATAGTTCACAAAAACATCTAAAATGTAACGATTTAAAATGTCCTTTCAGTCCCTTACTGGGAAGAGCAGTATAATTTCTGTATGTTACAAATTCCTTTTTATACATCTCCTATAAAGAAGTCTGGAATTCAAAATCCATACTAAGAATTGCCAGAGAGTTAATCTAGGAACACCTACCATCCAGGCCATGAGGAGGTAAAGAGTAATTTCCCTGGATACCCAGTGGTCTATGGGACTAACCTTTCATTTTGGAAAGATGGACCTGGAAAGCTAACCCAGCTGAACAATCAACTCATTTGTTTCATGAGATGAAAGTGGAAGAAAGCCCCTGAAGAAAACAAGGAAAGTAGGTACAACTTTGACAGGGACATTAACAAACCATTGCTAATGTGTGCCTGACAGTTCCTTCTTGATATACTAAGATAATGCATTGGCAGCTCATACTATAGAGAGAAATAGTCATTTAAGACATTCTCATAGTTTCAAAGGCAGAGAACCTCTCACTGTCTGCACAGGTAGAGTTTAGGAAAATGTTCAGCCCGTGTGAGAGCTATAGTGTGGTGGAGGTTTAATCCATGCCGGATTCTTTGGATGAGATTTTCTGCCTGAAACTGTAGTCTACTTTGCATTTTGCTGGCCCAGTGTTACCAAGTTTCACACAAAGCTTGGAAAAACAGCCAGTAAGTGTAGTTAGATCAGCCTCTAGAAAAGGAGACAGAAGATTCTCAGTATATTTAAGAGAATATTTAAAAACAAAATTACATAAGCTTAGAGGAAATGTAGAAAAATAAATTGATGGCTGTTATCTACCACTTTCATATAAAAATGGAATTAAAGTCAATCTTCCCCAGATCAAGTACTTCAGAGATGTAATGTAAAATAAAGTCTGGAGTTCATGTGAGCTACTGACTGCAGGAAACTACCCTATTGGAGAAGAGAAGGTCCTCTATGCCCCTGGTTATCACCAGAGTAGCCAGGAGAAGGGCCTGGGGATAGAGGAGGAAATGAGTTCAGTAAGTTCCACTGGACAGCAGGCCTACTGAATGGGGCTTAATTTGCCTCCGTCATCTTTCCATTGGTAGAAACCGCATAGTGGCTCAAGAGACAGAGTTAGCTGGCTGCCATTTTAATATCTTCATGTCTCCAAATCAGTTGTTTACTACACAAGTTTCCCAAATGCTAGCTTTATATCACAGTATTGGTTAAAGAGTCTTGGAACAAATAAGGCTACTGAATTGGCTTCAAATTTGACATGTTAAAATTCTCTTAAATTTATCACCTTCCAACAAAGCATTGATCTGGAAGAGTTTGGTAGACTGCCCATTCCTTGGGAAGGGAGATGAAGAATTGTGAAGCAAAAATGCAGTGCGTCTAATAAGGTGTCAACAGCTGACGAGTGTGCAGAAGTGACACAAAATGGGCTTCTCGGTCACATACAGCTGTGTAACTGTGCCTGGTTATGCCTGGATTCAATTGCTAATGGAGATACGAATATCATTATGTAAGTTTAAAGAAGAAAGATCTGCTGAGTCCAGTGTTCGAGGGTGCTTTTTTAAAGCCGCTTCTGTACTAATAAGATTCCAGGCAGCTGGATTGTTTATAGCTGGAAAATGGAACTATATCAAGCAAGTTATTTGCATTCTGGAAAGGCTAAAAATTACCCACTTTTCAAATCCTATCAATCAGTTTGGCCACATAGACTGGTTTCATCTGTGTGGCAGGTTTCTTTATGAAGACAAAGCAGATATGAAAAGTCTGTTTCCTTATTCTCTCCACCCTCTTCAGTTGTAGGGTCCCTAAAGGTAAAATAACTACTATAAAAATATTTTAAAAAACAGAAGCTTTTTCTTTCCTCTCCACTTTTCGGCCATTTCTTTCTCTGATTAGAATAGACAGGATTAAAAAAAAGCAGCTCAAATATACCTGATGCTTCTTGACAGCAATTTAAAAAGGCAGTTTAAACTACTTTATAAAATCAGATACTTGATATTTGGATCAGATATATGGGAGGGGGGAGGGAGGAAGGCTATTTTCGGACGTATTCTTTCTCTTTGCCATATAAAGCTCCAAATTGATTCTATCTTTGTTTTTGTGGGCAGAGGTGAGTACTACAAAACTGACCAATTTAGTATGTCAGGGAATGAAGAGCTTCCCCTGTCAATGTAAGAACCTGGTTCCTGGGAAAAAGAGCCTGCAAGTGTCCATTGCTAATTCCCCGTCACACACTGACTTAGTGCAGTTTGCTGTGCTGTTGTGTGCAATGATCTGCATCAATGAAGTGGCCAAGGGAGAAGCAGAAATAGAAATAGAAATGAGGATACATAACTTTCAAGAAAGGAAAAATATAATTAAGAAAATTTCTCTGTTGCAGACAGCATCATGTAGAGGGAATATGCAATCCCAGGCCAACAGGTAAATCTTTGCCCCAAATACACATTTCTTCTGCTACATCTCACTGTGGCCCTTAGGGGAAAAAAAATGACTTATCTTACCGGAGGGGTTATTTCTACAAACATGTTACATTCCTTCCTTCAGTTTTTCCATTTTCTTTACCAGCCGTATATGAACTATTCATTTAGGAAGCACTATTCTCTGTGGTACTTAAGAAAACAAGAGGTACCTGAAGGAGGCCAAGAAGAGGTTTGCAGCTTCTTCTGACCGTGATAGATGGGAGGGGAGACCAGCATGCCCTCTGATACTCAATTTCTCAACCATACTGGCAATCTGAGTATAATAGCACCACTGGGTTTCCTTATTCTACTTCTCAGATGTCAGAAAATCTTTCTCCATAATTCCTGAGTAGTTGCAGTGAGTGTGTAGAAAGACACCATCAGCATAAGGATTCAAAAGGCAATTGTTGGGCAGTAGGGCAATCACCTGAGACCTCTGGGCCTCCACTGCCGTCATATACATCCACTTCTGCTTGGCCACAATTTTTCTTATTCCTTTTTCCCCATAAGCTGCCGCTTCTTGAGGTAAGAGCCATAACCTGGTTTTTGATGCTTGATGGGCCTGATGCTTTTTACCTAACATGTCTATAGTATATTTTATGATATATTTTGTGTAATTTATGGAACTTATGATATTGTGTGCTCTGACACTTATTGTCAATTTCTAATGCAAGAATCTGAACTGTCACATTGTGTCCTTAGACTTAGTGAATTTTGTCTAGGAAGAGAAGAACTTGTTTGTAGACTAAGGGTTCTCAGTAACTAGTAAGTCAGGTGTGAGTGTCTGGTTAGACACGGCATAGCAATACTGGCTACTCTGCTTTGTAGTTGAGGGAGGGCTATTCCTACAACAGCCACTTAAAGCCTGCTGGCTGGATGTGCTCAAGCTGCCAAATGGCCTCCTGATCACCTCTTCTCCAGGGAAGGTTTAGACACTCCTGTTGCACTGAACACAAGCTCAACAGCATTTTACAGGGATCATTTTCAAGGACTCCAGATTATTGTAGATGAACTTCCTTGAACAAACCATCATTGACCTTTACTGAGCATCAACTTGAGTTAAAAATGAAGGCTGTGTCAACAATGTGGTACACTGGTGGACTTGGGAGGGGGCATCCCAGGTTTCAAATTAGGTGAGAATAATGAAGATTTTGTCATGATGTCTTAAAACAGTAACATTAATACACTGACTAGTGTGACAAAACCACCAGGTTTCCCTAACCGAGGCAGGCAAATCTTGCTTTGTAGAAACAGACATTTTACTGCCAAGTTTTAGTCTGTTGACTAGGATGAGCTCCAATTAAGTGTTTTCACTCATTATTCTTCAGCACTGGCCCTGGAAGAGTTACGTGGCCACAGTGACAACCTTGCTTACCTTTAGTGATGTCTCATGAGCATCCTATTTGGAGACTGAAGTGGGCTGCAGTGACTCCACTGCAAACCACCTGCTGCTCTTACCAGCCTACCAGGATTTAGACTTCTGCGGGCACCACAGAACTCGGAGCTGATTTCTATGGCATGGATAAAACGGGCACTTTTTTTGTGCATAACACTAGAAGGAGCACGGGGACGGCTATGAGTGGAATTAGTTTTTAATTAATCAGTTCTTTTGGGTGTCTTCAGAGTTAAGTGAAAATCAAGAAAACTAAGAAAGCGTATAAAAAGCGGCTTGCTCACAAGCAACTTCAAGCCTTTTTAGTCATGCATGTTCCTTCTCAGCTTTGCCATTTTGCTTGTCTCATTCCTTTATTTTGAATTTAAAAAATCCAATTATATTACCATATTCCTTTCAGTTGAACCAGTAGAAAAGGTGGTTAGCACCTGTATGAATATGGCTTGTATGACTTGATCCTGACTGCACTTCATTCCGGAGGCTGACATTAGATGAGGACATATGGTGCTGCTTTCGTTACTGGATCTATTGCAGGAGCACTCCTGAGTGGCTGCTGGCTGGCAGGCATATCCTGGGAAGATGCTCAGGCACCTGGCAAGTCCAAGGGTTCTGGAAAGATGGTGGAGCAAGGGGCATGCCACATGTGGTGGCTGGATCAGGAAGGAATTTAAGATGCTTGCTCATCTCTGGACAGTCCTCTACCAATTAGAGGAAAAAGCTCGGGCCTCTCCTTCAAGGCCTAAAAATGAGTCTTTGATCATATTCTCAATTCATATCCAGTCCTATCTTCACTCCTCACAAGATAAATTCAGAGAGGTGGCTTAAGGACAACATCGTCAGAGAGGTCCAAGGTGGTTTCCCCATGTGACTCAAGAGCCAGGGTCACAAAAGCTGCCTATGAATAATAATCCACTCGGAGTTTCATATTAATGTAATGTTTTCATTTTGATGTAAGAAACTTTTTTTCTGCCCTTAAGTTTTTTTTGACATTAAACAGTCCTGCTTCATCCTACTTCACACACCTTGTCAGGGTCATGAGTGGAGGCTGTGAGTTGCATTTGCTCTCCTGTCTGGAAACTGCCTCCTGGGGATGGTGGGGGAGGTCCAGCTGCACAGTCACAGCACACGACGTAGAACTCGGCGGCATGTCCACACAACATTGCCCATTTACGAATGATCCAAAATGTGAAAGGTGCTCTGGCCACTGGGTCCCTTGTCCAAGCAGGTTCTCTGACCCTAAGGCTGTGCTTGCTCAGGTATTAGTTTCTCTTGAGAGTTAGGGTGCAGAATCTCTGCTGGCCCACAAAACCATGAAGGACTGATACAGAAACAAGAATGGGACTCACTTAATAACAGATGTCTAGTCCTTGCATGATAACTTGTTCTCCAGGATGAAGTTTATGGCTGTTTATCTCCCTTTCTCTACCCAGGTACAATTCTGTTTTTTTTCTCCTTTCCATTACATGAATAACAACAAAATCATTTTTCTAGTCTGGAAAACACATATTCTTAGACCCCTCCAAAAATAGTTTTGGTAAGTTGCAACATTATTGGAGAGTAAGATGCTGCAGGATTTTGCTGCAATAGGATCAAAACTAAGACCAATAATCAAAACAGCAGGGTGTAAAGACAAAGACTTGAACTCTTCCCAAGGCAACTGTCCTAAATGATCGTTTCTCTCTTCTGTGAAAATGTGACACATATCAAGCTTTGGTTATAAAGCTGGAAATTTCAGCTTTTAAAAAAAGTTGCAGAAAATTTTGGTATTTCTTCTGGTCTTATAACAGAGTGGACTTTGGGCTTCAATAAGAAATAATAATCAAATATTTCTGCAGTGTTCCCTTAAATAGTTTCCCATTGTTCCTGTGGCTTAATAAGGGACTTCTTAAAGGCATGGGGCACTCTGCAGATGACCTCAGAGATGAGCAAAAAAACATTTAGTAACATCTCTCAAGAACGTCCTGCAGCCCTGGGGTCAGAAAGAGCATGTGTGCAAGGTTCTCCATGGCGAGTGCCATCATTTCTGTGTGTCTTCATCTTAGTTGGTGTTCACACTGGCTTCCTTCTGACGCAGTCTTTCTTTCTGTTAATGGGGAAAAAATGTGTCATTCCTTTCATAAGTTTTGATAAATTTGTTAAATTTTGGTCTAGAATGCTGAGTGCAATTATGCCAAACAGCCTAGAAATACTGTTCTTTCCCTAAGCCCTCAGTTATCTGCCCCTCCCTACCTATTACCCTTACTCCCCAGAAGACAAACAAGAAATCAACAACCAGCCAATCTACCAACTACATCCATCTAAAACAAGGGCCTTTACCAAGCCAGGGTGGTCTTTTCTGTTTTCCTCCTTTGTGACAAAGACCTAACTTTGCAGTGTTACTCCAGGACTCCTTCCACCCTACCCTTGGCCCACTGATGGAATTAGGGAATGATCAAGAAATAGCTTTTAAGGAGTCTAGATATGAAAAAAAACTGTTTCCAAGTTGAATGTATTTGCAAATAATAAACTTGGCAGAACTCAACAAAAGCCATGCAAAATGGGAGATGACCAGATTTAGTCTCTACAGAATGACAGAAGTTCCCGATTTGCCATGGATGTTCTGCCCTTCATTCTCTGAGCTTCCTCCTCATGGACAGCCTTCTAAAGGGAGGGACATAGGCATCTGCTGGGAAGATGTAAAAATAGGGGCACACCACACAGAAACACGGACCCTAACAGTATCTGTGACACCAGAGAAGTAAACACATGAGTATGGTAAGGATGGGTGTGCCTGCTCTTAGGGGAGGACAATTAGAAGGCTAAAAAGGAGAAGGACACACTCTTTTGGAATGAGCAGATGCAGAGAGAAGCCTTTGAGAATGGATCCTTAGCTGCTTGTGAGCTATGAGATGTGATGTTGCAGTGAATTACTAAGTTGGCCTAGACATAAGCTTAAGTTGATAATTTTTTGACACTCATCCTAAATTTGGACCCCGTCCCTGACTTGGAAAATTGAATCAGAAATCCATTTACAAGCTCTTCCCTCGTTTCCACCCACCCACACTAACAGGCAATAAAAGAATCAACTCCAACACGCTCAGGATCACAACTGGGAGCTTGCTCACAGGGGAGGTCGTAAACCCACCGTTTCCCTTTGGTTTACATGGGTGACCCCATTCTCCCTGCCTTGGAGGACAGGCTTGGCTGTAAAAATCTGGATAGAGGCCCAAATAAAAGGTCTGAAGGAAGGAGGTAGAGGCTGATGAAGGAAGATAAAAATCGGGATTCAGCTGACTGCCAATGAAAATCATACAAATGCATGTCACAAATATACCATCAAATGGGAATAGGGGCCATGTCCTCAACAATGGCTTTTCCTGACCAACTCTATAGCCCTGACTTCTCCATTTCTCATTCATCAACCTCATGAAACATTCATTTAGCTGCTCATGGGGTGGTAATGAGAAACACCATGGTCAATCCACAGAAATAATCTCACTTTACAATTTGGATCCCACCTACATTTTCAAAGGATTTGAAGCATCCAGCAAAAAGGATAATCATATCTAAATAAGTAGTTGTGGGACATCAGGCCAGAGAGGGTAGCGTTTGAAAATTCCTAGAGGGGAGGGGTGATACTTCCGCTTCCTACTCACTGCCATTCCCCATTGCAGGGTCAACCAAAGCAGCTGAAATTCACAGCGACAAGAAAAACAACTAATACTTACTAAGCTCTTAAGGCATTTTACAAGTCTTTTCTCACTTTTCTCAAAATAACCCCAAGGAAAAGGTAATACTTCTTTTCATGGAAGAGAAAGAAACAAAGTAACTTTACTAAGGTTTTACAGCTACTTAAGTGGCAGAGCTGTGATCTGAACCCAGGCCATTTCCTTCTCAACATCCTGGGATTCTAACCATGCAGCTCTTCTGACTATTGTCTGTATCACCTAGGTGGAGATTCATTGTGATCTCTATTGAAAACTGGACTTTGGAGGACAGTGCAATCTCAAATCTAGAAGACTGGGGAGACTGCTGGTTTCCAGCACAGGAAGAGATGTTAGGAGGCCCAGAATCTGGTCCTGGTTTTTGTTACCCACTTACCAAGTGACCCTAGGTAGGCTGTATCTTTGTGCACTTCAAATTTCCCAACTATCAAAATAGAATCCCTGCCTTTTTCCTTAATGGGGAAAAGGAACTGAAGAGAATGAATGTAATTAAACATCCTGAGAGAAAGATCCTTTGCAATAAGGGCGACTGTGTTGTGGGTAGAGTATGAAAGGACGTGAAATGGCAAGTGGCTAAACGTGGCTAATCAGAAATGATCTATGTGGAATTTACAGGAAAAACATAAAGCTATGTTTTGCACCTCGACCCACACCTTTTTTTTTTTTTTTTTTTTCCCACCTGCAACTCTGGGATGGGAAATGAGAATCTGGATATTACATTTCAGCTTTGAATTTTAGCCCTTGAATTCAGACACACTCCTGGACACACTTCAATTTTAATGAAAATCATTAGGTTATGCTGAAAAATGTCTCACCAGGCTAGCAGTGGGATTGATTTTCTTTGTCTCCACTTTCTTCTCTGAGGTCAACTTGCTGACTGACTCCTGAGCCATTTTCAACCTGAAATAGAAATAGGGAAAAGGCAGGAAGAGGGAAAAGGAAAGAAGGAAAAAGTAAGGCAGGTTAAACATAAACTCAAATGCTTTTGAATTAATCTATCAGTGATTTGAAAATACTGAAATGTTTTTTCCGTACTTGTTATTAAATTCAAACCCTAATTAGGTGTGAAGGCGTCTCAGCTTTATCAAAACTTAATTTTCTTCACTAGCTGAAGACTGTTTTTGTAAACAATGTGATAGTTTCTGACAGATGGAATCTGTGTACCCAGAGCATTGTTTACTTCAATGTACTCTGGCTTGTGATCCACTCAGCAGGTAATATTGAGATGATTTTGAAAAAAAGTTCTAAGGAAATGAGAAAGCACAAATATTAAAATTCACCAATTCACATCAATTAAGATGTGATATCCTAAAGAATGGGCAAAATGTTTATTTTTTGAGACAAAGTCTCCTTCTGTTGCTCAGACGCGTGCAGTGGCGTGATCTCGGCTTACTGTAACCTCCACAACCAGAATGGGAAAAATATTTATATATCATATATCTGATGGAGACTTGTGTCCAAAACACAAAGAACTCCTCAAAACTCAAATAAGGCAAATACCCCCTCCTCTAAAAATGGACAAAGGATTTTAATAGACATTTCTCCAAAGCTGACATACACATGGTCAGTAAGCACATAAAAATATGCTCAACATCATTAATCATCAAGAAATGCAAATCAAAACCACAATGGAAAGCTACTTCACATCCACTGGGATGGTTGGAATCAGAAAGACAGACAATAACAAGTACTAGAGATGAAGATGTGAAGACATTGGAACCCTCATACATTGTTAATGTGATTCTAGAGTTACAGTTGCTTTGGAAAATAGTTTGGCAGTTTTCCAAAATGTTAAGCACAGAATTACCATATGACCCAGCAAGTCCTCTGCTAGATACATATGTATAACTAAGAAAATTGAAAACATGTCTATAAAAAATTGAAAACATGTCTATATAAAAAAAGCATGTTTACAGAACCATTATTTAACCATTATTTATAATAGTCAAGAGTAGAAGCAACCAAATTTCCATCACCTGATGGATAAACAAAATGTGGTGTATCCATACAACATAACTGAGCCATCAAAAGGAATGAATTTGCTGATACATGCTACAACATAGATAGACCTCAAAAACACTAAGTGAAAGGAGCCAATCGGAAAACACATGACCCCATTTATATGAAATGTTCAAAATATGCAAATCCATATAGAAAGCAGATTACCAAAACCATGGGTCTCCCCATGCTGGGGAAAATGGGGAGTGACTGCTAACTGGTAAGATTTTCTCTAAAATCAAATTGAAGTAATGGTTGTACATCCTTGTGAACATACTAAAAACCACTATCTACTGAGTGATACTAATGTGTACTGAATTGTACACTTTAAAAGGGTGAGTTTTAGAATATGTAAATAGTGTCTCAGTAAAACTTATTAAAAATTCATTAATTCAACATGAAGGTATTTCTTACCCATAAGGTTGGCAAATGTAAATAATCAGAAAATAACTGTGAGGATGTCGGGGAATAGGAAGTGCCACACAGTGCACTAGGGAGAATAAACTGGTGTAGCTGGCTTTGGCAACATCAGGTAAAACTGAAAGCGCTCTACGAGCCATCAATTCTTCTTGTAGGGAGATACCCAAAAGAATTATAAATTGACAGAGTTTTCACTGTGGCAATAAAACGCAATTGAGGAAAAACTGCAAACAACCTAATGAATGTGTTCAATAGAATAACAGATATATGACAATAGCAAATAACATTTATTGGGTACTTAATCTGTACCAGATGCTGCTCTACTTACTGCATTTGAATTAAACTTAATTTTTACAACAAGTCTGAGAGAAGAATGCTTGCTACTCCAATTTTATAGGTCTTAACCACCATGCAACGTGCAATGCTGCTTATGTACTATATTCATTCCGCAGAATAGGGTATAATGGTGAGAAGGAATGAACTAGATCCACAAATTCAACAATCACAGGTATCAGAAGCATGATACTGAGAGAGTGAAGAATTCTGCAGTGATACAGTGAAGAGGCCATCTATGATGATGGTCAAGAGCTCAGGATCCAAAGCCTGATTGCAGAATTCTTAACCCTATCACTTAATAGCTGTGTGACCCTGCAAAACAGACCTGTCTGTGTGCCTTATTTCCTAAGAAACGTGACAGTAAACATGCATGATACATAGGATCAATGAGGACTTAAGACAGTGTCAGAGGCGCAAAGCAACTCCACCTTGAATAGAAGCTGGGTAAAATGAGGCCGAAACCTACTGGGCTGCATTCCCAGATGGCTAAGGCATTGTAAGTCACAGGATAAGAGATAGGAGGTCAGCACAAGACACAGGTTATAAAGACCTTGCTGATAAAACAGGTTACAGTAAAAAGCCAACCAAAACTCACCAAAACCAAGATGGCCATGTAGTGACCTCTGGTCGTCCTCACTGCTACATTTGTAAACTGTATGTTTACTATATTTGTAAACATACAGTTTACAAATGCCATGGCAACATGAGAAAGTCATCCTGTATGGTCTTAAAAAGAGGAGGCATGAATAATCTACCCCTTAGCATATCTTCAAAAAACCATAAAAGTGGACAGCCAGCAGCTCTTGACGCTTCTCTGCCTATGGAGTAGACATTTTTAAATTTTACTTTCCTAATAAACCTGCTTTCAGTGTACTCCAGACTTGTCCTGAATTCTTTCTTGCGTGAGATCCAAGAATCCTCTCTCGGGGTCTGGATTGGGACCCCTTTCCTGTAACATCTTTCTGCCAACCACAGAAGGGACTATAGTGAGGAAACCCCTGACCCAGAGGCTAGCTTTGGGTAAGTGGTGGTATCCTGCAACAGCAGTGTAGCTTCAGGCAGGTGGTAATAGCTGAATAAATGTAAGCTGCTATTGTTACTTGCATGTAGTATGCAACATTATGCATATAATTTTAAACTGAACCCATACAAACACCTATCTGTGTTTATATATGGAAACACACATAAAAGTATTCAAAATAGACTAGAAAGATAATCAATTTCATCATAGAGGTTATTGCTAGAAAGACCTGGGAAGAGAATGACACTGGCAATAACATGCCATGTAGAATTTCATTGTATCTGTAATGTTTCCTTTTCAAATTTAAAATCTTAAAGAATAGGTGATGAATGTTAAGTTATAATTCTAGGTAGTGGGAACATGGGTGTGATACATTATCCTTGGTATTTTTATTTTCAAAATTTCTTCAAAACATTAAATACTTAAAGATCTACCAACTCAGACATTTAAAAATATGCTTTTTCTTCCATGCTTCAAATAAAAATCTCTTGCTTAATATTAATCACATATTTGTTGGCATCTATAAGTGGCTGAGTAGCTTAGCTCTTGACTTAGCTAATGTTATACAATTTGTTTAAAACACGTTTAGTAATCCCATTTCCCTGCCCACATGTGCATGTTAGTTATAATAAATTTAACATTCTTATTTGTTCATTGGACAATAAATTAATTCTCCTGTTGCAGTATGAAAGCAGCCATCAGAAAAATAAACCAATAAGTAGGCAATGCTGTATCCTAATAAATTGTATTGACAAACACCGTTAGTGTGCAGAGGTGGCTCATAGGCTGTAGTTTGCCAGTTCCTGGACTATATCATAGGATTCAAATCATATGGTTTTGGATTGGCAATCCAATCTCCCCCTGTTCTAAACATAGTTTACTTGTCTATCTTACCTTTTCAGACCCAGATGTGTTGTATTCATAGTACTCTGGTTTAATTAGCTGACTATCCTTGGATAAGTCACTTAACCCCCTGTACCTCAATTTTTTCATCTCTTAAAAGTATGAATAATACCACACCTAATAACATTGTTGCTATAAAAATTAAAATACTATGTGATTACTGATTAAGTATCTTTTCCTTCACCTCACTCCACGTCTTCAATGACCCATCCAAATGACTTACATTCTTTGTACATGGCTTTTTCTCACCTTTGCATCCTGCTTTCATTGTTCCCTCAACGACTGAGTCATTTCCATTCGTTCAAATTCTTCCGATTCTTCTATTCACAGCTTAAGTGTCAGAGTCACCAAAGGTTCCTTCATCTCTCTTAGCCAGAAGTAATTGCTCTTTTCCTAAGTGACAAAGCACTTTGTGCCTCTCTTAAGGTACTTAAGGCATTTCATCTTAAACTTGGGTAGGTGTCTTTTCTTAAACCATTGAAATGACTTGAGGATAATGAGCAGGAATTATGCATATCTGGGACCTCTCCTTGTTCCTTTATCCAGCACTGTGCCAGACACAAGTTGGTTCTTAGCAAATACCTATGTGACAAGTGATATGCATTGATAACTTTCTTTTTCTGCCTGAAACAGTTTAAATGTTTAGTAAATACTCAAGAGTTATAAAATAATTGCTTTTTGCATTTATCCTTGGGAAAAATCTATAAAAACATTTAGAAGTGTAGTTTTAGTTGCTGATTAGCTGATTGAGTATTAAGGAAAAAGAAAAGATGCTGAAGGCCACCCAAATGTGCTAAATATTTACACATGTCATCTTAGGTATATATTTCAAGATAATTAAAAGTAGCCACATTACTTTGCCCACAAGGAGACCAAGACTCAGAGAGGTTATTAACTTTGTCCTAAGTCTGGAATTTATTTTTCCCACTTAGGTAAGGGCTTTTGGCATTTAATCAAAGGAAATTTGCTGGTTAGCGCATGTCCTCACTCATAAGTGGGTGTTGAACAATGAGAACACATGGACACAGAGAGGGGAACATCACACCCCTGGGGGCTGTTGAGGGGTGGGGAGATTGGGGAGGGATAACACTAGGAGAAATACCTAATGAAGGTGATGGGGGTGATGGAGGCAGCAAACCACCATGGCATGTGTATACCTATCTAACAATCCTGCAAGATCTGCACATGTACCCCAGAACTTAAAAAAAATAATAATTAAGAA